GTGATCTTCCATTGCCACCTCAAAGACTGATCAAAAGGGAGGCTGTTCTCCAGTTTTCTACCTGCCATGCAGATGGAAAGTATGCTGGTCACATTTCATACTATGCTAAGTCACATCACTCTGGAAAACTAGGGGCCTTGCAAGAAGCTATATATATATGTATATATATATTGCTTTAAGTAAAGGTACCATTTTATAAAATAACAACTTCTGTATCAGACCAAGAAGTTCTTTCTTGTGAGTAACATTTATATGACTCTCATTGATAGGGGGAATAGGACGTTCTCACATAACAGGTCTAAAGAATGGTTTTGAAAGCTATTTTGTTTCAGCGATAAACACTATCGAACTCTAAGGTGTCCTGGTGGGAAAGGACTTCCTCTCTAGAGCTGGCTGGTTTCCCTAGAAAAATGACCAGTATTTTTATGAAAATAGAAATTACTTGGCTATATTTGTGGCTCTAAGGAGATATTCATATTCAAACTATTTTAAACCAGAAGGCATTTAGTCAAAGCTTTCCACCTTGTCCAGAGAAAGATAAGGCTTTCTATTCCTGTAAAGATTTCATCTCAGAAACCACTCGGGGCTGTTCTGTTCCGTCGCATTGGGTCCCCATGCGCCAGAACTGAATCCAGGGCAGTGAGTTGTTGGTTGTCTTTGTCGTCGTCGTTGCCCCCCAACCCCACCCACACCGTCCCCCAACATCTTTGAATTGGACTCGGTGGATCCTCTGGTCCACTAGGCTTCTTTGGCATGTGGAAACAGGCTGAGAGAGCTTGGGCTGCTAGCTAAAAACAGGAATCGACTGCACCTCCCTCCCTGCTGCAATGGCTATGATGTGTCCAGGGGCTCTTGGACTACCAAACAGCAAGCTGAAAGTGGAGTTTATTTGGAAATGATAGAAAAGCAGGTGACCCAGCTGGTGGGGCCTCAATGGAGTTGCCGCCACTGACTGAACTGTGTTTAGGGTTTTTTTTTTTTAAGTGGGTGTGGGATACTTTAGCCTGTCTGTATCTCCAGGTTACGGCCAGACCAATCCCAGGACTGGGTCTGTTTCTCAGGTGCACTACATCTGGTCATGCTCGCTCCACAGTGGGTGTTGCCTAGGCATGGGCCAGGAAATAAGCATGACGTGTTCAACAAAAAGTCTTCTTAGGTTTGAGGACGCTGGAATTTAGAATCAGCCTAGGGGGCTGGTGCCTGCAGGTTTAGGATTTACATTGTCCTAGGGGGTTGAAGTCACCCAGCCAGAAAGCCTGCCACTCCCCATACTCCCCGAGGCACGCCCTTTCCCCCTCCACTGGTCCCATCTCTCACTGCCCCCTTCTCCAGCTGATTCCTGTTCATTACACCTGTCCTCTCACCTGTTCTGTTAAACTGCAAAGTGAGCAGTTGGAAACTACCAGTCGGTCCACGGGAGCAAGGGGAGGCGTTCTACTCTCGTAAAGGGCTGCAGTCTTGGAAACAGACGCAGTTGTACTCTGTCTTTAGAGGGTGGGCGGTGGGTCGAAACCTACTAGATATTTAATTTGAATTTTGAGTCTGAGTCTGGGCGAACAGGGAACTAAGACACAATTGACTCTACCACACATTCCATGCCAGACACGATTTCTCTGAGGAGGCAATCGCCAAGGAGATGTGCATGGCGATCCAGGACAGAAGCGGTTGAAGACCTCGAGTTAAGTTTTCGGCGCTTGGCCGGGGAACAGCCTGGGACTGGCGATGGCCAGAGCTCTTCCCCGGCAGGCTTCCTCCTGACGGCACCCCGTGTTTGCTTCAGCTCAGCAGGAAGCTAGCGTGAACGGGCCAAACCGTTATCTCCTTTGCACCTCCGTGCACCCTGGAGTCGAGATGCGCGCCCCAACTCCGGGAAGCCAGAAGCTGGCGGATCGCCGGACCTGCGGGGCGCTTTCTCGGCCG